GGGAAATGGCGAGGGGTGGCGGGGGGGGGGGGGGGGGGCGCGCACGATGTCTCTCCCCCCCCCCCCGGCTCGAACCATGAAAAAATCTATATATCATAATTTTTCCAAAAACTTTTCGATATTCCTGAGAGTGTTACCCCACCTGCTTTTAAAAAATTTGTTTGGTTTCTGTTTAGCCAATTAAGATGGTAGATGATTGATTCATTTATGGACTGAAGATGAGATTGGCCTCTCTTTTTAAAGTCATATCTATTGATGATTTTTTTAGTGTTCACCTTCATATGCCTATTTATTCTTTTAGCTGACACTAATTTATCTAGTGCGTCTTTATTTACCTTTCATTTATAGATAAAAAAGATTTTTTCTTATACACTCTGAATAAATTCTTCCGATTATTATAAAAACAATTAGGAACAGTTGGATTGAAGACTTTTACGATCAAGATATTGGTTCGGAAACAGAAAATGCTGAAAGCCAAACATCAAAAGAAGATGATGAAATTGATTTAGAAAATCTTAAAATGGACGACGATTCTCCGGAAAAGAGTTTATATAGTTCTAACTCTGGAATTACCTGGTCGTCAATTCTGTCCTCTTCGACGAAAATAAGCTCTTCAAATGATGCAAACGAGAAAACTGGACCTACCGGATTCACTGAAAATGTATCATCTATTGAAGACTCATTTATGTGTTTTATGTCGGAAAAAATCATACTGAAAATTTTGATTTATTCAAATATGGGATATATTCGAAATACTACTTCTAATGGAAAGACAGAAGAAATAACAATGATGGAAATAAAAGCTTTTATTGGACTTTTATTACTTGGTGGTTTATTAGGAGAATCGAAGAAAACCATTAAATCCATATGGAGAAGAAATCCGTTAGAGTCTCCAATATTCAAAGCCACTATTTCAAGAGAAATTTTTGAAAAATTATCTACTGCTTAAGATTTTATGATAAAACAACAAGAGAAGAAAGGAAAAAAGTGATAAATTTGCAGCAGTTCGTGAAATTTGGTGGGGCTTTCAAGACAATTTAAAAATATGTTTCATACCAGGTACTTACGTAACAATTGATGAACAGCTATTAGATTTCAGAGGTAAATGTCCATTTCGTCAATTTATGCCAAAGAAACCTGATAAATACGGGTTAAAATTCTGGTG